AAAAATCTATCTTCTCTCCCTCGTACCTCTCCCTAAACATTGAAAAAAAAAGAAGAAATAAAAAGCAAAACTCTTGTGACAAATATATTATAGTCAAACAAAACATGAAGCCTTACTTGAGCCCCCTCAGCTTCTAGTACCCCCCCCAGTTACCCATGTATCTATTTTCTATATGTCAATATATGTTTGTGCACATTGTCTCCACCCAGAAGCTTGCCAGCAGGTGCTGTTTCATTGTTGTCTTTATACCCCCAGATTCTAGCATAGAGTCTGGCAGCTAGGTGGTTCAGTGAATAGAGTGCAGACACTAGTAGTGTGACCCTGGGCAAGTCACTTAACCCTGTTTGCTTCAGTTCCTCAACAGAATAATGAGCTGGAGAAGGAAAAGGTAAACCACTCTAATATCTTTATCAAGAAAACCCCCCAAAATGGGGTAACATGACTGAAACAGCTCAATAAGGACAATAAATGTTTATTGAGATGAATTGAATTGAGGTACCTACTGGGTGCTGGTTGGGCAGCTAGGTGAAGCAGTGAATAGAGTGCCAGGCCGGAAGTCAGGAAGACTCATCTTCATGAATTCAAATCTGGCCTTAGACACTTACTACCTGTATTACCCTTGGAAAGTCATGTAACCCTGTGCCTCAGTTTCCTCATCTGTAAAATGAGCTGGAGAAGGAAATGGCAAACAACTCCAGTATCGTTGCTGAAAAAACTCCAAATGGGGTCAAGAAGAGTCAAACACAACTGAAACAACTAAACAACAGCAACAACACCTACTGGGTGCCAATAATACTGGCCACATAATTTGGCCATGTTCAAAAATGTATGTCTCATTTTGAACCTTGAGATCAGAACTTCTCTCAAAAGGTAGATAGTACACTTTTTCATCAGTCCCTTGGAGTGTTGGCTAGTCATCTTATTTGTCAAATTTCTTAAATCTTCTAAAGTTGATTTCTCTACAATTGCATTTTTATTGTATATGTAGTTTTCCTGGTTCTGTTCACTTAACTTTGTATCAGTGCAGACAAGTCTTCCCAGGTTTCTTGAAAATCCTTTGTATAATTCCTTATGACTCAATAATAATATTCCATTACATTCACATAGCATAATTTGTTCATCTATTTCCCATGTCACAGGCACATGCCCAATTCCATAAACTCCAGCGCTCCCTATCACTTCCAGAATCAAATAGGAAATTCTCTTTCAGCTCCGGGCATTTCCTCCGACTCTTCCCCATGCCTAGAATGCTCTCCTTCCTCATCTCCACCTATGGCCTTTCCTGGCTTCCTTTAAGTCCCAATTAAAATCCCACCTCCTATAGGAAGCCTTCCCCAACCCTTCTTAATTCCAGTGTCTTCTCTCTGTTCATTATTTCCTTTTCTCCTGTATGTAGTTTGTTTGTACGTAGTCTTCCTTGTTAGATGGTGACCCCCTTGAAGATAAAGATTGTCTTTTGCCTCTTCTTTATCCCTAACACTTACCACAGTGCCTGGCACACAGTAGGTGCTTAACAAATGCTTATTGATTGATGGAAGAAGTCTATACCAGACATGGTGGGAGGCCTAGGCAAATGCAAAGTGAGGTGGAGAGGTCTAGGCCAAAATTAGGAAACAGCAAAAGAGACAGTGTGTCTAGATCATAAATAGGTGTATCATGAAATAAGGCTGTAAGGAAGTTTGGAGTTAGATTTTAGAGGTCTAGCAACTAAGGGCCTGAGATTTCTTGACTCTCTTCAAAAGCCAAGCAGAGAGAGAAGCTTGTAGTTTATCTCAGAGAAAACAGGCAGCCACTAAAGAGTCTTTTGGAAGGAGAATGATGTGTTCAGACCTTTACATTAGGACAAATCTCTTTCTTTCTCTGGGTCTCAATTTCCTTCTTTGTAGAATAAGGGCATTGGACTAGGTGATTTCTAAGGTACCTTCTACCTTCAAAGCTCAATGAGTCTAATAAAGATATGTCACTGAGTGAGCTAGTCAGAAACACAGACATTCACCTTAAACAGATTACAAAATATATTGGATATTAGCATGCAAGCCCCTAGTGGACATTTGCTTATGCACAAAACAAGAGGACTCTGTATAAGATCATAGAATCAGAGCTGGAAAGGACAAAATATGTGCATGCCATCTCCTGGTGAAGGGAAGCAAAGTTCTCCCAGGATAGGTAGCTGAATCCCAATCAATCAATCAATCCATAAACATTTAAGTGCCTACTATGTGCCAGGCACTGTGCTAAACTCTGGGGATATAAAAAGAGCCAAAAGACAGTCCCTGCCCTCAAGGAGCTTACAATCTAACAAGGGAGATAACATGCAAACAAATATCTACAAGCAAGCTTTATATAGGAGAAATAGGAAATAATTAACAGAGAGAAGGCACTGGAATTAAGAGGGGTTGAGGAAGGCTTCCTGTAGGAGATGAGATTTTTCAGTTGGAATTTTAAGGAAGCCAGATAGCTGCCTGGTTATAGATGGCCAACCAACACTATGGGTCTGAGGGTTTTATGCTAAGGTAGACCAGAAGCACCAGAGTTTTATGGCCACATCAATCTCCAGGTAAGCAGATAAGGTCAAGCCCAAGGGTTGGCAGAATTCCTTTGGAGTCAGGAACTTCACTCAACAATATTCATCATGAAGTTACTCTAGTTGTCTCTATGTGTATCTTCCCTCCTTCAGGTGAAAGAGTCTGATCTAATTGGACTATATCAACATTAGCCTGCAACAAATACTTATGGTAGGTACAATGTAGTCTACTACAGTAAGAATCAGTTACATATTGTCTTCTAGGGTCACTGGCAGTCTTAGCTTTTGGGAGACTTTCTCACTAATGTTCCTAGTAAATTTGGTTGGTTTTTTTCCCCTGCCTTTTCCATGTTCTCCCAATCATCTTTTATCTTCTCCAGTTTTAAGTTTCTGTTTCTTGGCCTCTCTGGTTTTCTTTCCTTTTTTAAAATAGTATTGTATTTTTCCAATTATATGTAAAGACAATTTTTAGTATTCATTTTTTACAAAATTTTGAATTCCAAATTTTTCTGCCTCCCTCCGTCTCCTCCCCTTTTCCTAAAACAGTAAGCAATTTGATATAGGTTATATATGTGCAATCATGCAAAACTTATTTCCATATTAGTCATAATTATGAAAGAAGAAACAGACCAAAAGAAAATACAAAAAAAATAAAGTTAAAATTGTATACTTCAAACTGCATTCAGAGCCCATCAGTTCTTTCTCTGGATGTGGATAGCATTTTCCATCATGAGAGCTTTGTGATTGTCTTGGATCATTGTATTGCTGAGAAGTGCTCAATCATTCATAGTTGATCATCACACAATATTGCTGTTACTGCATACAATGTTCTCCTGGTTCTGCTCATTTCACTTTGTATCAGTTCATATAAGTCTTTCCAGGTTTTTCTGAGCATCCTGCTCCTCATTTCCTATTGCACAATAGTATTCCATTACATTCCTACACTACAGCTTGTTCAGCCATTCCCCAAATGATGGATATCCTCTCAATTTCCAATTCTTTGCCACCACAAAAAGAGCTGCTATAAATATTGTTGTATGTATCGGTCCTTTTCCTTTTTTTAATGTCTTTGAGATACAGTGGGCATGTACAGTTTGTTGGCCTCTCTGATTTTCTTCCATTTTCTTCTCTCTCTCTGACTCCTACTCTTCTCATCTAACTTTTCTCATTCTCTCCTTCAACCTCTCTCCAACAGGCATTTCCCCCCCCACCTCTCCTGTTCCGTTTTACATCTTTTCTTTGTCTATGGCCACCAGAGGGAGCCACTGCTCTCCCCTTCACATTCTGGCCCATCCTCTCTTTAGTATGAAAATGTTATCTGTCCTCTGAAGGGCTCACAAGTCTAGCAAGGAAGGGCCTAGACAAGACACGTACTCTCCTTGGCTCATTCTCTGAGACTCTTTGGCTGTGCAGACATAAGCAGAGCTACCATTCTCTCAAGTTTTTTTGGGGGGGGGGAGAAGAGGATGGAAAGATAGAACAGGATGTAGAATTTTTTTGTAAATTTGCACTTTTTACACTTTAGAAAGATCTCTCCTCATAATGGCTGTGGAAAGAAAGAAGGGAGGGAGGAAAGAAAAGAAAATGTTATTATCTCCCTTTTAAAGAGGGTCAGAGAGAGGAAGAGATTTGTCCAGCATCAGAGAGTAAGCATCAAGGTCCCTTCCACTAGACCCTCCTGCTCAATAAATAGGGAGATGAACAAACCAATTTACCCACTAGTATTGTTAGGACTTGAGTGAGGTGAAGAAGATGAGGGAAAAAGAGAGAGAACAGACCAAAAAATTCTGATGTCTAGACTCCAGGTGAGTAACAGAATCTTTGACAGAATTAGAGACACAGAGAAAAGAACCTGATTTGGGGGATGTCATAAAATCATAGAATCTCAGAGCATGAAGTGACCTAGAAACTCTAATCCCTTACTTGGAGCCTTTTCTTGAACGTCTCAAGGGACAGTGAACTCACTGCTTCTAGAGGCGATCTGATTTAGTTTTGGGTAGCTCTGATTCTTAGGAATTTCTTCCTGATATGGAAACAATGACCTCCATTTTGGAAATGTTATGTTGAAAGGGAGCTATCCAGTTAGTATTAGAGTTTTAGGACTGTAGCTTGGTATAGTAGAAGGGAAGATATATGTTAATGTAAGTGAATGAAGATAAGGATTGAAGCTGGCAAAGTGTGCAGAGGGAGAAAAGGTGTGGGACAAGGGATTTCATTCAATTCAGTTCAACAGATATTTTCGGCATGATCTTGGGTCTAGTCTACCACCCCCACCCTTTTTCCTCTAAGTAATAACCAGAAACAAGAGTCAGGCAAGAGAATTTTAATGGATCAGCAATAGAATGAGCTTCCTGGAGATGAGGGGCAGGGAATAGGCAAGATTTCTTTCTAAGTCTTGCTCTTCATATCAAGTGTTCCTTCCAAGATATCTTTAGGTATGTAAGAAGGTTTCACACAGCATCTTTTTCCATTTAGACAGAATATGTAGAATCTCTCCTTTTTTTGACACTGCCCTCTGCAAAATCCTTTCTGGTCCCAGCACGTGCTTTTGCCTCTCACTGCAAAGAGGGGAAGGAGTATCCATCATCAGCAGTGAATGGGGATGGGAGGCAGACACAGAAGACAAGGGGATTTGGGAAAGATTAGAGACAGTCTAGTGTAGTGGAAAGAGTCTGGGCTGGACCTCAACCCAACCTTCTGTATGGTTGCTTCCTATTTTTACTAATTTATTCTTGCTACTGCTTGCCAGACTGCTATTTCTGTTCTGTTCAAGTACTGCATAGGCTATCAGCACGCTCCAAATTCAGTGCTCTGGAGGAAATCCCAGATTGCCTCACCTTAGTTATGACTCTGAGACAAAGGTGGAAGTGGAGGTGGAGACAGAGATAGAGCTGGAGAGAAGGTCAGAAACAGAAATAGAAACAGAGACAGACAAAGGGACATTTCCAAGGGGGGAAACGAACAGAGGTGAACACATAGAAAAAAAGAGATGGAAACAGACATTGACCTAGAAAGAGGAAAAAAAAGAAAAAATACAAGGATAGAGAAAAGGCAGGGGTTGGGCAAGAGTTGAGGAGGTTTTGAATTCTCCAAGTACGTTATAGGTATTTAATAAATGTATGTTGAATTGAAACGAATTGAACTGAACTGAACTGAATTGAACTGGAGAAGGCACAGAAAGAGGAGGCTACCAACTCCTAGACTCCTTCCTCCCAAGCTACCTTGTATTTAACCACTTCACATTTATTTGCATGTGTTCTCTTTATATTTATTCTATATATACTTATTTATGTTCTTGTTATTCCCCCACACACATTAGAATGTAAGCTCCTTGAAAGTCAGAATTGATTCATTCATTACATTTGTATCCCGGCATCTAACAGTGCCTGACATATATGTGTTGATTGATTGATTGAGGCTGAGAGCACCACAGAGAAATTTACTATCTCCTTCTCTTGAAGTAGTCTCTAAAGACACCCCGTTCAATGCAACCTAACCACAAATTCTCTCTGCAACATTGTTGGCAAATGGTCTTTTAACCAGTATTTGAGGACTTCCCAGCTCCTGAAGAAGTTTATTCTATGGTGGGATGGCTCTGAGTTTTAGAAAGTTCTTCATGCTATCTTCCTCCTTACAACTCCCACTCAAGGAGGAAAGAACAAAGCTGGGAGAAGACATTCAGAGCGTCAATAAAGTTCCGTGCCAGTGACTTCTACACTGAAACCTGAGGCAAATCTGGACCTAACTCCCAATTGAAAGATCAGAGGAATGAAGACCGGACCACTCTAATGACCTGACCTGACCCTACCTCCTTCCAACATATGTGCATGTATGTCCTCTGCCTGACATGCCCCACTTTGGCCACAGGCACATACACAATCTATGGATTCCTCCATGCCCCGGGAACCTATAATGTGCCAGAGAGATGGAAGAGATCATGGAAAGAAAAAGAGGGGGAGGAAGAAGTGGTAAGAAAGAGAGAAAGGATGGGTTTGAAAAACAGAAAGAAAGGGATGGAACAGGGAAAGGGATGGAGATAGGAAGGGAGAAGGCAGAAGGAAATGAGAAGGGAGATTTGTCAGGATGGGAAGGAAGAAAGAATGGCCAGTGGAATTAGAGTGGAGTGGTAGAATACTCCAGATGTGATAGAACAGGGCCCATGGAGAAGGGGCCTATGAACATCCACAAGAACCCCAAACAATACAGCCTCTGAACCCAACTCCCTCCATCTGTCATCATGAGGTATGTTAGAGACCCCAGTGGATAGAATTCTGGGCTTGGAGTCCTGAGTTCAAATACAGCCTCAGACACTTACTAGCTATGTGGTCCTGGGCAAGTCACCTAACCCTCTGTTTGCCTCAGTTTTCTCAACTGTAAAATGGGAATAAGAGTAACATCTACCTCACAGGATTGTTGTGAAGATCAAATGTTTGTCAAAAAGTGCTTAGCATAGTACCTGGCCCATAGTGGACACTATATAAATGTTTTTTCACTCCCTTCCCCAGAACAGAGGAGCAGGCACAGAAGCCAGGGTTGGTGCTTTAATGGAATAGCATAAGAAAGCTAGGATTGGGGGCTGGGGCTGGGGCTGGATGTGGGGCTGGGACTGGGTCTGGGCTAGGATGGGTGAGACCAAGGTACCTAGGTTGCCTGGCTATTCTCAGGCTTAGGCTCAGGCTCAGGCTTCCTCATCATGAAGGAATAGGCACAGCACATGGAGTTGTCTTTGCAGAAGTAGAGGAAAACTTCCTTTCGAGTGCAGAAGGTTCTACAGGTCCCAGCACCTTTCCAGCACTGTCGTAACTCACAGCTCACTGTCAAGGAAGAAGAATGGCTGCCCTAACTTGGTCCTCAATCCCCTCAGAGCCTAGCTGGCTGAGGAAAGCAGAGAGTTGTACACCAAGTAACCATCTACTCCCCAAATGATTGTAAGTACAAAACCAGGTAAGTAACTGAAGATGGGAGAACTCCCTAAATCTCCCACCCTGTACCCCTCAGAATTCGCCTAAGGTCAAAGAGTCAATAGGGAGGGGAAAGGGGATAGAAGAAGGAAGAGAGAAAGAAATGAGGAAGAGGGAGAGAAGTAAGCTACCATCACTGGGAGTATTCAAGGGGAAGTTGGCTACTCTCTATCAAATGTGTAGACCTGACCCTACCTCCTTCCAACATATGTGCATGTATGTCCTCTGCCTGACATGCCCCGCTTGTCTACACTAAGAGAAAGGTTAGACTGGATATTCTCTAAGAAGGTAGCAAAAGATTTTGAACAAAGTAGACATTCAATAAATGTTGAATTGAATTGATATCAGTCACTGAAATCATAAAAAAAAGAATTGGGAAAGTTCTATATCTTTCTTTATCAGTGACTTGCTATGTGAATTTCAGAAAATCACTTGTCCTCTTAGTGGGCTTATTACTGGGATGATCTGGTACTCAATATTCCAGGTGAGAAGGTGCTTGGAAAGTATTCCATTCCCCACTATAAATGTTTAAGGGTTTTTCCTTTGCACTGCCCCTATATTGACTTTGTGATTTCAATAGGAATCTGGCAGCACTAGTTAAGATAAAGGTTTATGACTAACTCTGGGCTTCATTCAGCCTGGCTAATGTTCTCCCTTCCCACAGAGTCACAGCATGTCACAGCTAAAAGGAACCTTGGAAGACAAAACACAGAATATTAGAATATAGAATAAAGAATGCTAGAATTTAGAATTCTGACATCAGAGATGTTTTATCTCTCTTTTCCTCACTCCATCTCCTGCTTACATGTCTTTGCATCGGCCATCCCCTATGCCAGGATTGCACTCCCTCCTCACTTCCTCCTCATAGAATTCCTCACTTCTTTCAAGATTTAGCGGAGGCACCACCTTCTACACAAAGCCTTTTCTTATTTCCCCTACTGCTAGTGACTTTTCTCCTAAAAATATTTATTCCATATATACTTATATAGGGAATATTGTCTCCTCTGACAGATTGTAAGCTCCTTGAAGGAAGGGTCTGTTGCATTTTTTTTTTTGTCTTTGTATCCCTAGCACCTACAACAGTGCCTGACACATTGCAGGTGCTTGATAAATGTTGATTTTGTATCTCTAGTGTCTAGTATATAGGTTACATGCAGCAGGCAATTAACAGATGTTTGTATAAATATGTTGTTGGAGGCAAGTGGCTCAGTGGATAGAGCACTGGGCCTAGAGTCAGGAAGACCAGAATTCAAATCCAGCCTTAGACACTTACTAGCTGTATGACCCTGGGTAAGTCACTTAACCTCTGTTCATTTTAATCCACTGGAGAAGGAAATGACAAACCACTCCAGTATTTCTGCCAAGAAAACCCCATGTACACTGTTGGCGTGCTATGGTTCACAGGGTCATGAAGAATCAGACACAACTGTACAACATAAGGATTTTACAAATATTGTTTCATTTTTGGACAGCTGGGTGGCACAGTGAATAAAGCACTGGGCTGGGAATCAGGAAGATTCATCTTCCTGAAATCAAATCTGGCCTCAGATACTTACTAGCTGTGTGACCCTGGGCAAGTCACTTAACCTTGTTTGTCTCCATTCCTCATCTGTAAAAACGAACTGAAGAAGGAAGTGGCAAACCACTCCAGTATCTTTGCCAAGAAAACCCCAGATGGGGTCACAGAGAATCATACAGGACTGGAACCACTCAAACAACAATGACAAATACCATGTTAAATTATAGAATATTAGTGTTGGAAGGGACCTTCAGACATGGAGTACTAGAGCCAGCAGGACCTTTGAACATGGAACACAGAATGATAAGAGTTAGAAGTATGACAATATGTTAGAAGATAAAACATAAAATATCAGAGTTGGAAGGGACATTAAAACATAGAACACAGGATGTTAGAATATCAAACAGAATATTAAATATAGAAAAGTTAGGAAATAGGGACCTCTTAACACAAAATTTAAAATGTCAGAGCTAGAAGAGCCTTAGAGTAGGACCACAGAATACAAAACACAGAAGAGGGAGAAAGTATAATATCATAGCAGAAAGGGTCTTTAGGATGTAAAATGTAGAACATCAGTGCTAAAAGGAACCTTAAAATAGAATATAGAGTAGCAGAGTTAGGAAGGAACTCAGAGATCATCTAATCCAATCCCAAATTTTACAGAGGAGGAAATTAAGGAGAAAAGAAAAATGGTTTGCCCTGGTGAGAGAGCTAGCTGGCAAGTTGGTGGTTCAGTGGATGGAGCACTGGGCCCGGAGTCAGGAAGACTCATCTTCCTGAGTTCAAATCCAGTCTCAGATCTACTTCCTAGCTGTGTGACCCTGGGCAAGTCACCTACCCCCGTCTGCCTCAGTTTCCTCATCTGTAATATGGAGATAATATTTCATGGGGTTGTTGTGAGGATCAAAAGAGATGAGATTTGTAAATAACACTTAGCACAGGGCCTGGGATATAGTAGGCCCTATATAAATGCTTACGCCCTTCTCAACACAGTCAGGACTAGAATTCAAGTTTACTGATTTCCAGGCTAATCTTTCTACCCATCAAAATTTCCTGTGATTCCATTAGTGCAACTGGGCCCCTGCTCCCGTGGAAGTTCAGTTCCATCTGATATCTTGTTATCTCATCAACAAAATATTGTCTCCCTCTTCCTCCCCATTCTAGAGAGTTCCAAGTTACCTGGGGGGCCAAAGGCCAGCAGCAGGACAATGGCCGAGCCCAGAAGAAGGAGCTTCATGGCTGAAGGTCCCCCCAGAGAGAGGAGCAGCAGGACTGATGAGGACCAGAAAATCCTCTGTGGGCCACAGTTCCTTCCTTTATTGCCTTTGCACGTGGGGCTGGGCCAGAGGCAATGAAGCAGAGAAGCTGCTCGCAGCCCCGATTCAGAGCAATGATGTCAGATAGGCAGACGGGTAGTCAACCATATAGGGAGCTACCTGTGGTGATGACTAGGGGTAGAGGGAACAGAACACAAATAAGCAGACCAAGACCTGTCCTGGATGATCATGGAATCATAAGTTTAGATTTTATCTAATCCAACTCCTTCATTTTACAGGTGAGGAAACAGGCCCAGAAAGGTGAAGTGCTTTTTCCAAGGCCACACAAGAAGACACATTCTATATTACTACTGAACACAGGATCAGGCCTGGCTAGTATTTGATGCCCCTAAGCTCCCTCACCTTCTGTAGTTCTAATCCCGCTTTTTGGGGGGGTGGGGGTAGCTAGATAACGTGGGTTAAGTGATTTGCTCAGGGTCACACAGTTAGTGTCAAGTATCTAAGGCAGGATTTGCACTAAGGTCCTCCTGACTCGAGGGCTGGTGCTCTATCCACTGCACCACCTAGCTGCTCCCTAACCCCACTTCTGGCATTTGTTAGCTATGTGACTGAAGGCAAAGCTCTTATAACCTCCCAGAATTTTACTTCCTTCTAAAATGAAAGCGCTGTACTAGATGATCCCTAAGGTTCCTTCAGGCTCTAATATTCTGTGTTCTATGTCCTTTTCAAATCTGAGTGCTCTGAGTCTATGGTTCATCTATGGAAAATAATAGTAGTAGTAGTAGTAATAATTATAATAATACCTAACATGTATATAGTGCTTCCTTTATGCCAGGTACTATGCTAAGCACTTTACAATTATTACCTCATTAGATCCTCACAACAACCCTGCAAGGTAGGCACTATTATTGTCCCCATTTTACAGTTTAGGAAACTGAATCAAAGAGACGTTAAATGACTTGCCCAGGGTCAAACAGCTATTAAATGTCTGAGGTCACATTTGAACTCAGATCTCTCTGGCTCCAGGGCCAGCACTCTATCCACTGAATCACCTAGCTGCCCTCTGTTCAATTGCAGAGAGAGGTAGAAGAATAACACCACGAGGAGGACAGAGGTCAAAGTCCCCACTGCAAAATTTTGCTTAGAACAGTCTCACAGGTCTCACCTTCCAGGCCAGGTTAGAGGTGAGAATCAGTTTCACTCTGAAGCAGTTACACTTCCATCTCAGGGTACTTTCCAGTTCAAAATCCTATGTTCTAAGTTCCCTTCCAGCTCTGGTCATCTAAGCTTTTTTTTTTTTCATTCTAAGATTCTTACTTCGAGAGGTTGCTTTGAGAATCCTCTCTAACTCCCTTCAAACTGAACCAAGAAAGGATTCATGGCAGTCTGAGCTCCTTCTGACTTCAGCCCATGTTATCCTGCTTCCCTCAGTCTCATTCACCTCTTGGCCTACCATGATACAATCTGCACTGACCCAACACCACAACACATTTCATAGGACCTTGTCAGGGCCCTAATGCTAAGCCAATTCTCTACACGCACAGTTACCACTCTAATTCAGGACTCTGTCAGTTCATGCTGGGATTATTGCAATAGTGTCTTTATTGGTGTACCTGCCTTCAATCTCTGCCTTCTCCAGTTCATCCTTTTTTTTTTTCCTTTTTGGTGAAGCAATCAGGGTTAAGTGACTTGCCCAGGGTCACACAGCTAGTAAGTGTCAAGTGTCTGAAGCTGGATTTGAACTCAGGTCCTCCTGACTCCAAGGCCAGAGCTCTATCCACTGTACCACCTAACTGCCCCTCCAGTTTATTCTTTACACAGATGCTTAATTCCTAAAACTCAAGTCTAACCACTCCCCTACACAAGAAACTACTGTCCTAATAAAAAACACAAACTCCTCTGATTGGCATATAAAGCCTTCTACAATCTGGTTCTAACGTGTCTTTAAAATAAAATTTTTTTTACTATAAATTCAATAAACATAAACATTTTAATGTGCATAGAACAGAAATTATATATGAAACTGTGAACTTCCATTAATGTAGTTTTTCCTAATTTAATACAATAGCAAAAAAAAAACCCCTCATTGTCTGTGTCCCCTTTTGAATTGCTTTTGCTCTCTTCTGTGTATTTTTAAATGTTTCATTGATGTTTTCTCTTTTCTTTTTTTTTTTTTGCTTCACTATCACTACCTACAAACTCGACCACCACTCAAAAAAATTGAAACCCTCTCTTGTAACCAATAAGTATAATCAAGCAAAACAAATCACTCTGTTGGTTATGTGGTTTCAGTGCATCACCCTTTTGCCAAGAGTCTAGAAGCAGCCTTCATCACCAGTCTTTTGAAGTCATGACTGGCCCCTCCATAGATCAGAGTTCTGAAGCCTTCCAAAATTGTTTCCCTCTCTATTCCTTGGTCATCATGTCAGTTTTTCTCCTGTTTCTACACACTTCACCCTGCATTGGCTCACACAGGTTTCCCCATGTAAAATCTAACTCATATTCACCATTTCTTATGGCACAATAATATTCCATTACATTCATACGCCATAGTTTGTTCAGCCCTTCCCCAGGACACCAGTTGATGGGCACCAGTTCTTTGCCACCACAAAAAGAACTGCTGAAAATATTTTTGTACGTATGGGTCCTTTCCATCTATTTTTGACCTCTTTATAGGCCAAGTAGTATTATTTAGGGTTCAGTGCTTGGCACAGTTTAGTGACTTTTTGGAAAAGGATCTATGCTTTCCAGAATGTACAACCTGTCTTTCCAGACTGACCTCATATTACTCCCCTTCGTAACTCCATATTCCAATTAAATTGGTTGACATTGTTCTCTGTACTTAACTGTCTACCCTCACCTCATTGCCTTTGCACAAATGAGCTCTTCCCCCATACTTAAAATGCTCTTCCCCCTCACTTCTGCCTGTTGGAATTCTGAGCTCTTTTCAACGAGCAGAGGTTCAGGAGTAACCTCCCCCAAGACCCTTTCCTGATACTTCAGTTGTTAGTGCTTTTCCCCCCATCCCTAAGCACCCCCTCTTGAAATCTGTTTTGCATATATTTTATAGGTATCTATCTGTGTACATATTGCTTCCTCCTAGTAAATACAAGCTCTTTGAGGGTTAGAACAATTTTTTTTTTCAGTCTTTGTTTCCCCAGCACCCAGCACAGTGCCTAGCACATACTAGATGCTTAATAAATGCTTGTTGAATGAATAAATAAGATGATCTCTAAGATCATTTTATTTCAATAAGATGATCTCCAAGAACCCTTCCAGTTCCCCTATTCTTTGAACAAGATGAAATTGCCCATGGTTATACAGCAAGTTAATGTCAATGCTTAAAGCCCAATTTCTCCTTCTATTTCTGGCATTCTCTGACTCAGTTCCTACTCTACTTAGTGACCAGCTGATTGTGCTTAGGCAAGGCCATTCCTCTCAGAGTTCTAATTTCCTCAACTACACAATGGGGGTAATCATATTTGTGTAGGCCTCAGTTTCTTTTTCTGTAAAATGGTTGGAAGCAATGTGGAATATCAGTAAGAGCACAATATTGGAAGTCAGAGGCAGGAAGGAAACAAAGACAAAAATAAAAGCATTACTAACTCTCAAGGGGCTGACATTCTATTGGGAGTTAGAGGATCCCATTTGAAATCCTAGCTCTGCCACATGCCACCTGTGTAACCTTGAGCAAATCACTTAAGCATTCTGAACCTCAATTTTTCCATCTGTAAATTGATAGAGCTGGACTGAATGACATCTAAGCTGAGCCAGAGCTAACAATATTTGTGCTTGGGGCAGTACAAATCACCCTCAGTAGAGGTATATAAATTATACCCTCAAATCAATTCTTCAAAATGGAGGAGCAGGGTGGTGTTTAATGTTGAACTATTGTAGATGTCCTTTCCTTCTGTCACTCCGTCTCTGCACACTTGGAGAAAGGGGGGCAGATAGGACCCATAAAAAATTCCTTCTCCCTCCTGAGGAGGAGAGGTGGGGACCATTGGTGTAATGGGAGAGGAGGACATAAGTATCTGCTCCCAACATCCTTGTGCTTCAGCAGAGGATCCCCACCCTTTATGTACCTTCCCAGGTCCAGGCCTCACCCACTATCATCGAAAAGGGAGACAGACAGTTTCATCTACTCGTGGACCCATAAAGGCAAAGAGAAGGGTCAGTTGGGTGAGTAGGGGATATGTTAGACCTTGACGTCTTATGCAAGGTATATCTGGCCTCTGGAATGGGTATTGAGCAGCTGGGTGATGTCTTCATGCCTAGAGACCCCTTAGCCTCATCAGCTGCTTCTGCTGAGATGGGCCAACACCGAGGGGGCACTGGAGTTCCATGTCCCTTGGTGTTCTCTCAAGACAGAGTGTGCCAATTTTCTTCAGCTCCCTCCAAACACGCAAATTCCGGGTCTAGGAGTTGGGGGGGGGGGAGCTGGACCCAGAGTTTTACAAGACCCACTGAGTCATCAAAGACAGATTTCTGCCTTTCCTGGTAAGGAGGAAAAGAGGATGAAAGCACCAGGGCCAAGGCTGGACGTCCTAGGAAAAAGCCGACAGGAGGAACAGATACAGATCTGTTCTCTCTACAATTTTGATGTTGACTTTAGAGTTAAGAAGTGCTAAGTGGGCTGGGTGGCAGAGTAGGACCCTTGGCCAGGGCTTGACTGGGACGGAAGCAAGGCTGAGGTCTTCTGGCTGGGGCCAGAGCTCTGGGCGGGGCCAGGGGAGGGCTCCAGCGGTGGCGGCTCCTCCCCACCTCGGGCTGGGACCGTGGGGCTTCTGGGCGGCTCACCGCAGGCAGGAAAGAACGGCCGACCAGGGATTCGACGATACCCGCGGTGGCAGCAGCTCGGGGGGTGCCCCAGAGGCGGAGCGGAGCCCCAGCCCCCCAGCGCCGGGGTACGGGCGCCAGCTGGCGCAGGGCGGGGATAGGGTGGGCGCTGGGGAGAAGTTGGGGAAAGTTTAGTCAGAGTTGGCCTGGGCACCCCCACCCCTGCCCAACATACACATAGTTGGAGGCTCCCGGCCTGGGGCAGAGCAGGGCTCAGAGAGATGGAGCGGAGGTGGGATCTTGGAGCTCCTGGGGATGGGGGAATCCCAATTCCTTCAGAGTCAGGAGAGGTTCACAGAGCCTCTAAAGCTTGGGGGTGGGGGAGTCCTTAGAGTTGGGGTTTGGAAGTGGGATGGATCCTCAAGCCCTCAGATAGAAAAGGTCGCTGGGTGCCCTGAGTTTCTCAGAGAGTGGAGCTGGTAGTGCTAGGGACACCTGGCCCTGTCCCATCTTAGGCTGGCACAGACAAGCCCCCTGGGGAACATCTCCCTGACTCCCCGCATTGGAGTTGACTGAAGACCAACTCCCTCCCCTCTACAACAGCTGGAGGCTGCCCCATGGGTCACCCTGAAGCTTAGCCAGCTGCTCCTGAATATTTTACACAGGCGGCGGGTTGGGGACGCTGTTCCCATGACACTTCCCATCTCCTGTTACCTGCCCGCTAGCCGACCCCTCCTCCCTGCCACCCTTGCTTCCCTACCCGCTTTCCTTTTCTTCCACAGAGATTGAGAACTTGGGCCCAGGCTCCAGCCAGATCTGAGGCCCCTTCCTTAACCTCCAAGAGGCTCAATGAATTAGGACCTCTGCCCCACAGTTTGGCTTCTGAAAAATTGCCCCTCACAACTCCAAACCACCCATCACCCCCACCCCAGGGCAGCAAAGATCTTAGAACCACTACCAACCTCACACTCCAAAGCTGGACCAAGGGTCAAGGGTCTTTCTCCTTCTTTTGTTTATATTTGAACAAAACAGAAGGGAGAACATGTGAGAGGGCTGTTTGTGTGATGACTTGGATCTGTGCTCTTGCTTCCACAAACCTTGTGTGAGGTACCCACAGGTTGTGGTTCTGGGTATATGAAAATAATTGTAAATGTGTATATCTCCATGTATGCAGAATTACATATGTGTATGTCCTCTGTGACTACTTGGGTGTACTTTGCACATCAGCTTTAGCGTAGGATTAACTCTTTGTGTGAATGTGTGCACATGAGGCACTGGATGTAGTTCTTGGCCTCTATGTGCTGTTACTGTGCAGTTAAGAAATGTCAGTGATGGATGTATGTGTTCTCTGGGCCTGTGACTAGAAGAAACCCTTAACCCAATGCCAGGTCACCCCTGCCCCCATTAGAACAAAATGGACCAAAAAGGAGAACCAGTGACCTCTTTGCCCAGCCTTTCATTCACAGGAAACATGTCGCCTATTCTCTTCAAGATGACGCTGAACACCCAGCAGGATCCCCAGACGGTCCTGAGAAGACGATCCAGCACCCCACTGTCCCTATCGCCAAAGCCTAGCTCAGGCCTTTTGGCGCCAAAGCCCCCCAGGAGATCGAATCACCCCCAGCTCTGCCAGTCATCCTCTCTCAATCCCCCCCCTCGGCCTCCCTCGCCTGCCCTGGACAACTGGTCCTCTGACTCCAGTGATTCTAGTGACTCTCTCTACCGTGTAGTGCTACTTGGAGACCCCAGGGTGGGAAAGACCAGCCTGGCAAACCTTTTTGCTGGTATACAGGATCGAGACCTACAGGAACATCAGGGAGGTAAGACCCTCAAGAGAATAGAATGAAACCTCTCGTGGGGGGAGAGGGTACACTATTAGTGAAAGTTTTAAGTTTTAATAGTTTAAAACTTGCACAAAGACTTCTGGAACAAACACCTTGCATTTGTATACAAAAAAGTAGGTATGCGATACGTGCTCATCCCAAAATCACCAGTTGGAATTGGTGAATTGCAGAGTCTCTAGTCCAGCTCAGATCAGAATAGTAATTCCCTCCGTAACTTCCCTGACTGTCCCTGATCAATTTGTCATCCAGTCTCAGACTTGAGGAGCTCCAGTGCTTGGGAGCTCACTGCTCCCACCCCCAGGGACCAGTCATTTTACTTTGAGACAGCTCTGAATGTTGGGAAGTCTTTCCTTCCCCTAAGCTAAAATCTGCCAGTTTCTAGTTCTGCTCTTACTGTTCTACAGAACAAGACCAATCTCTCTTCCATATTTCAAATATGGAAGACAGTGATCATTTCTCCACAAGCCTCCTCTTCTCCGGGTAAAATATCTCCAGTTCCTTCAACTGTGTGGCCTCCAATTCCCTCACCATCTTAGCCATCCTCCTCTGGACACACTGGCTTATCAATGTTCTTCCTAAAATGTGGCATTCAGACTTGAACATAATAGCCCAGGACTGGTCTGACTAGAATACAGAACAGAAGAAACTTCACCTTTCATTCTCTCTTAATGTAGCCTAATCTCTCTTAACGTAGTCTAAAGTCACTCAGCTGGTTTGGGCTGCTAGGCCATGCCATGCTATTAATTCTTAACAAGCATACAGTTCTCTAAAACCTCTGGATCTTTTTCACACAAACTATTATCTAATCATACCTCTCCCAAACTAGATTTGGGCAGTTGATTTTCTGAACCTACTTGTAGGCTCCATTTCCCCCTATTCAATTTAATCTTATTAGAGTTAGCCCACCATTCCAGCCTGTTGAGATCCTTTGGGAGCCTGACTATTGTCCCACTTGTTAGCTATACTTCCTAGCTATATGCTATCTGCAAATTTGAAAGGCATGTTGTCTGTGCTTTCCTTCAAGTCATTAGTAAGCTGTTCAGCATAAGGCCAAGGACAGATTCCTGGGGTATTACACTGGAGAACTTCCTCTAGGTAGACATGGTCTAGTCTTTGGATACAGTTCTGAACCCACTTAACTATACTATTATCTAGATCATATCACATTGACTTATCCAGAGGAATAGCACAGGAGAGACATTATCAAATGCCCTTATGTAATAATTGGATTGATACATTCACATGTAATTTTATTGTTGTTCAGTCATTTCCGGTTGTGTCTGACTCTTCATGACCTCATTTTCTTGGCAGAGATATTAGAGTGGTTTGCCATTTCCTTCTCCAGCTTATTTTTACAGATGAGGAAACTGAGTCAAACAGGGTTAAGTAACTTGCCCAGAGTCATACAGCAATTAAGTGTGTGAGGCCAGATTTGAACTCAGAAAGATGAGTTTTCCTGACTCCAGGCCTGGCACTCTATCCGCTGTGCCACCCAGGTGTCCATGGAATAGGTGGGGGATTAATAAGCTTACATATGATAATAAGTGATATAATTAATTAATATTAATAAAAGGGAGCCACCCAGGTGTCCTCCACAATTCTACTGTCTCTAGGCTAGCGAGCAGCTTTGTCTTAGCCCAGCAAGGAGCAAACAAAGTAGGTGCCCCTTCACATTCCCCCTTCAGTCCAATTGAACCAACATTTTATTAAGTGGGACAGCATAATGTAATGGGAGAAGGACGGAACTTGGTGCCAGGCAAGTTGGCACACACTTTTAATCCCTGCTGCTAGGGAAGCTGAGGCTGGTGGAACCCCTGAGCTCAGGCTATAAGTGGGCTGAGCCAATTAAGCATCTAAACTAAGCAACCCCAGTGTGGTGAGCTGCCTGGGAAGGAGCCACCAGGCTGCCTAAGGAGGGGCAAATCAGTCCAGGTTGGAAACAGAGCAGATCAGAGCTCCCATGCCAATCAGGAGGGGGATCGGACCCTTGAGTGGCCAATGCACATCCAGCCTGGGCAAGGGGGCAAGGTAGGGAGACCCAGTCTCCCCTCCCAAAAAAAGATGTTTCAATACCTGGCCGTGACATACTAGATATGTGATCTTGAGCAAGTCATTTCTCTTCTCTCTGCCTCAGTTTTCCTAACTGTAAAATGGGGGGTTTGAACTAGATGACCACTAGTCTAATGCTCTGATTCTGGTACTTACAATAAGTTCACTTGTGAGAAGTGGAGTTGTAAGAGCATGGTCCCTGATCCATTCCATACATGTGGACATTGAAATAATGTTTAGGGACCTCCACATCCCACAGCCCATTAGCAGCTAAGCCAGCATCTAAACCCAGGCATTCAGGTGCTTTTCTCTGAAGGAAGGCTAGCAAGTTGTAAAATCAGCAGAGAGGGCTAAGGAACCTGTAGTCCAGACTGGGGACGCTAGTGCCCCAGGCAGCTTCATGACTAGCACACTTGTACCCTACAAGTGATCAGGAGCATAAATCTAGGAACTGGGAGTCCATTGGGAGTCAATAACGAGAGAAGCTCAGGTAGGACTGAATTTTCTAGCCCTTACCCTCTCTCAAAGGGAAAGAACCTTGAATTGGGAGGTAGAAGACCCAGTTTTGAATCTTAACTCTGCTATAGACTTAAAGTATGACCTTGAACAAGTCTTTTTCCTTCTCTGTACCTCAGTTTCCCCATCTATAAATTGAAAGGGTTGAACTAGATGTTTTCCAAGGTATCTTCCAGCTTTAAAAATTCTAAAAGAGGTGACCAATGGGAAAGTGCATAGAAAATGTCTTCTTTTACTCTGGGGGTGACCTCATGGACATAGGCCAAGAGAAGCTGAAATGAGGACTCATCCGGCTATTACAGGGCATCTGAACATGAACTTGGAGGAATCAATGCTATGTAGAAATTGAGTTAAATTATGAGACTACTCCTGAAGAGACTAAGGTAGTATAGGAGAGAGTATGCCTTGAGGTATTTGGGGAAATACTTGTATATTGTTCTAATTATATCTTTGAATTAAATATCACTTTGTAAAAAGTAATAAAAAAAAAAGTCTTCTTTTAATTATTCAGTCTCTGCCATGGAAGCCAAGAGCTTCCATCTCTTCCTCTGAGGTCAGCATCACTGTACCGCCAGACCCCACTAAGCCCAGCCTGTCCCCTCTATTCCAGAGGACATGTATGAGAGGACCCTGTCTGTGGATGGAGAGGACATGACGCTGCTGGTTATGGACAACTGGGAGTCAGAGAAGCGGGTATGGAGCAGGGGACATGGAAGGCCTGGGCAGCCTGATGGGAAGCCTCCTGGGAATCCTAGAAGCCTGGGAGCCCCGAGTTTCAGCAGAGCAGACAGAGAGGTCCCCAGGTGTCTGGATACCCAAAATGGAGCTGCCATAGAATCATTTAACATTTCCTGGACCTTAGAACATAGAATGTCTGAGCTTGAACGAACCTTAAAGACCATTTGGCTTAATCCCCTCCTTTAACAAGGGCAAAAACCGAGGCCAAGAGAATGGAAGTGACTTGCCCAAGGTCATACAGTGAGTCTATGGCAGACCCAGAATCAGAACCCAGATCTCTTTAGTCCTGAGCTGAGGTTTTTCCCAATGCACCATAAACCCCTTAAGAATGTCCAACCCCTCCTTCTTGCCCAAGAGAATGAGCATCCTCCTCCTTCACCTGGGAGGCTTGGAAGGCCTCTGAGAAGATGGCTTCACTCTCTTCCCCTGCAGGATGAGAAGAGCTGGCACCGTGATTACTGCCTACAAGTGGGCAGTGCCTATGCGATTGTGTACTCCATCACAGACCGAAGCAGCTTTGAGAGTGCTTCTGAGTTGCGCATTGAGCTCCGAAGGGCCCGCCAAGCAGACAATATTCCTATCATCCTGGTGGGGAATAAGGCAGACCTGGTGCGCTGTCGAGAGGTCTCTGTGGAAGGTGAGGGCAAGGGCCTCAATCTACCTGGTCTGTCCTGCTCTGCTATTATTTCCCCTTCCATCCTTTCTCCTGCTACCACCCTGGAAGTACAATGACCCTGGGCCCCTGGCCCTGGCTGGAGCTAAGCTAAAGTGAAACTATGCCACTGTCAGAGCCATAGCTAAGGTGGGGCAGTTGGGGATTTGTCTATGACAAAAAAAAATCTGTGGGATGTCAGGCACCCTCCTCCCAGGTGACTGTACCCCAAGTAAAGTCCACCTGCCTTTCTTCCCTCAGGTAGCTCCCCAAGCATCAGCCTTATAGTGTTCTCCTCCACGGGCCCTGGTGTCCAAGTTTCTCTCCACCTCACACCCCTAACTGAATTTGTCTTTAAAAGCATATCTGGGGGCACTTTTTCTTCTGCTTGCCCTCTGGGCATTTTTTGTGAAATTTGCCCTGGCACCAAAATTGCTGATTATGGATCTACCTACTATTTTCCCCTCCCTCCCTGCCCTTCTTTCCTTCTTTCTTTACCTTCATGGGATTCTCTCTCCATCCCTACTTTCTCTGTTCCTCTCTGTAACTACTTCTTTCTTCTTCTCCCGCTTTTCTCTCTGCTTCCTCCTTTCCCCTTCTTTTCTGGACCCTGCCTACTTTCTCTTTTTGCTCTTCCCCATACTCATCCGTCTTTTCTCCTTTTTCCTTTATGTTATTCTGTTTCTTCTCCTCTTTCCACTTCTCCCCTTGTTTCTCTTCTCTCCTTTGCCACCCTTTCCCATCCCTTTTCCTCTTCCCTTCTCCTTTTCTGCCTTTTCCCATTCTGTCCTTTCTTCTCCCTCTCCTTGCCTCCTCTCTTCCCCACCTCCTCTCTTCGGTCCCCTTCCTTCCCCTCTAGAGGGTCGGGCTTGTGCTATGGTATTCGACTGCAAGTTCATTGAGACTTCAGCAGCCCTGCAGCACAACGTAGCAGAGCTCTTCGAGGGCATTGTGCGCCAGATCCGCCTGCGGCAGCTGGGCCAGAAGGCAAATGGCCCCCGTCTTCCAGAGCCTCGCCCTAAGAGCCTCAGCCAGAGGGCCCGACGGTTCCTGGCCCGGCTGGCCACACGAAACAACAGGAAGCTAGCACTGAAGGCCCGATCCAAATCCTGCCATGACTTGTCTGTGCTTTGACACGAGGCTCTACCTCACTGGGCTCCAAGAACATAAAAAGGAGAGGGGAAGGACCATCTAGCCTGGGACCAGCCCCAGAGGCTCCCGCAGCTGCCACCCCCACCCCCCATATAGTCACCTCCCTGCTGCACTGAACCAAATAGTTTATCCTCCAGGTATCGTTGATGTTTCCAGCCATAATGACTCCAAATTGGGAGGAGAGGGATTCCCAGGCCTGCAGAGGAAGAGGCAGATTGGAGGGGGGCAGCCCATGTCCAGGGGGATGGACCTAGAAGTACTGTTCAATCCTACCAGGCACCTCCTCCTTCACACCCACAAACGGGGAGACCTATGTAGTCTGGGTAATCCCAGAGAACAGAATCCTGGCACCCCTGCTGTGATGTGTATCTGGAGGGAGAGTGCCAATGTTGGGCAAGAGATCCAAGTGCCAGCCCTAAGCCCCCCATGGATAGCAGTGGGCAGCAAGCTGAGGGAGAAGGCTGCTGGGTAGACAGCTCAGGTGGTGATAAATAGGGCCAATGAAACCATCTTTTTTGAGGGGGAGAAACTCCCTAGCTGGAGATAGGATGGGCAGACTTGGAGGAGATAATGCCACCATCTATACCTTTTTGTACTACCTGTCTCACCACCAAGCTATCCAGCCAACTATGGCCCCAGAAGCTCCTGCAATAAACCAGACCTGAGAGGTGTCCCATCCATCAGTTGCTGTGTCTACTCAGAGTCCCATTTTTCCTTCTCTAAGTCAGGCCAGGATTTGAGAGAGAGAGAGAGAGAGAGAGAGAGAGAGACAAGTTAAGGCCTCACTTCTCTCCTTCCTAAGCCTGGTTCCATCAGCAGTGCTTCCCAAACTATACCTCTGGTTGGCCCAGGATACTCAAATTCATCTATTTGGGCAAAAAGAATATGTAGAATTATATCTGTGCATCCGGCTCAGGCTAGAGGAGATGAAGAAAATGTCATATGCCAGCTCCTGTCCTCAACGAGTCCTGACTGATGCTGGGTACAGTTTCATTTCAGTAACCCATTTTTCAGGTCAGAAAAATTCAAGAGCATGTTGCAGCTGGAAGAGACCTCAGAGTATAGATTGTTAGAACAAGAAAGGGCCTTAGAAAGTAGGATATTTGAGTTGAAATTACCCTACCCCCTCATTTCACAGAGAAGAAAACTGAAACTTAGGAAAGGGAAAGATGTGCCCAGGGTCACACAGCAGGTTTGTAGCAGTCTAGAACACCCAACTCCTAGAACCCTGCTTTTTCCGTTATATTATGCTGCCTATCTCCAACCCTAAAGGAAGTTTCTAGGGTTCCCCTCCCTGACAGCCCCAGATGTGGGGAATATTGGAGACAACCCAACATCTGGCTGGTGGGGGTTGGGGAGGGGAAGAAAGGACTGGGCTCTGGGCCAAGATCCAGCTGGCTTGCTCAGGTCAGGTCAGGAGTTTCCAGTTAGAAGGAAGTTGAGAGGCCCCAATGAATTATCTGTCTCTCGTTGGGGTAGGAGTAGGGTTTGTGATATTGTTTGTGTACTGGCTGTAATCCTATCCATAGGGCAAGATTCCTCAATCCTCCATATTTACACATACATACACACACACACACAACACACACACACACACACACACACGCATACACACATCCCATCTAAACCCATCCTAGACATCTTCAACCTAAGTACCTTTCCTGAAATGGCACAAGGATCCTGGCAGCTGCATCAGGCATTCAGACTCCTTGGATGGTTATCCATCCTTCTCACTCATCCCCTCCTCACACATATACAGCAGAAAACTTGATAAGTATCTTAGAACATAGAATGTTTATGACAGAAGGGTCCTTAGAACAGAAGATGTCACCTTGAAGAAAACAGACTATAGAATGTCAATAACAAAAGGGTCCTTAGAACATAGTATGTGTGCTAGAATATAGCTCAGAACACACAACATTAATGATAGAAGGAAGTTTAGAACATAGATTGTTAATAAGAGTTCTTAGAACACAAGATACCAGTTAAAGGGGACCTTAGAATATTAGTGATACAAGGATTCTTAGAACATAGACTGTTAATGAGAGAAGAATTTTTAGAACTTAAGATATCAGCTGGAAGGAACCTTAGAAAACTAGTGATAGGCAGGGAGGTGGGGGTAGGAACCTATAGTCTCAAGGCCACATGTGACCCTCTAGGCCTTTTGACTGAATCCAAGATTTTTCTGTGAAGTTTGGATTCAGTCAAAGGGCCACACTTGAGGACTTAGAGAGCCACATGTGGCCTCGAGATCACAGGTTCCGCCCTACACACACACACACACACACACACACACACACACACACACACTCACACTATCACCTAGCTTGCACAGTGAATAGAGTGTGAAATACAGGAAGACCTGAGTTCAAACACTATCTCAGATACTAGCTGTGTGACTCTGTTCTGTAAAATGTGAATAATAGCACTTACTTCCTAGAGTTGTGAGGATTAAATGAACAAACATATGTAAAAATGCTTTGAAAACCTTAACGCCTCATAAAAATGCTGGCTATCATTATTATTATTATTATTATTATTATTACTTGGAAGGGAACTTAGGATATAGAATGTGACTCATAAAAGGGACCTTAGAACATAGAATGTCAGTGAAAGAAGGGGCCTTAGAGCATAGAATGTCAGTGAAAGAAGGGTCCTTAGAACATAGAACGTCAGTGAAAGAAGGGGCCTTAGAGCATAGAATGTCAGTGAAAGAAGGGTTCTTAGAGCATAGAATGTTAGTGAAAGAAGGGTTCTTAGAACACAGAAGGGACCTCATTACACAGTGTCAGATGTGGAAGAGCATTAGAGCACAAAATATTATAGAATGTAAGAGCCAGAAGGGACTTTAGGACATTGCCCACAGGACAGAAGAGCTGGAAGGACCTTTAGAACAGAGAATGATTGTCCACCTTCCCTGCCCCTCCTCCTCCCCGGCCCCTGGCTGGCCCATCCAAGCAGCCTGAGTTAATAGGGCCAGGAGCCTGACTGAGCCTTCAGCCAGATGGGTGGATCCCAGCTGTAATTGTGGAAAGTTGGCAGGAGACAGCCAGCAGCAGCGGGGAGAATGGAAAGAATGATATCAAACCCAGAAAAATGTAACCCAGATAATAAGCCCAGCAGACCCTGCCTGAGATGAAGGAAGGAATGATGGGCCAACCCACTGACGACTGAAAAGAGTTGAAAGCAAAGGAGTTTTTGAAGCTGAGCAATGTATTTCTCATATCTCCATAAAGGGAAGGCTGGGCAGGCAGCTTTTGAAGGGACCACTGCCTGCCGCAGCCCACCTGGTCCTAGGGTGAGATGTGAAAGTGAGAAGTACCAGCTGAACCTTGCTCCAGGAAGCTGGGGGCCAGCACTTCCTTCTGAGCCCTGACCCCTCAGAGAGAGAATTTCTGGGTTCTTTTAAATGCCCAAATCCCAGATAAGCCAGGGGAATTGCCCTTCTGTCGTCACTGCCACCAGCCCCTGCCTAGTTTCTGGAAACTCCAGAACCCCTCAGCTCATTTGTCATATGTGAGGCCAAGAATCCTTCCCTTAAAATCCATCTGAGACACTTTCTTCTGAAACTAAACTTCACTAGAGAATTATGAAGGAAAGGGAATTAAGAGTGTACAAGGTATACAATGGCTTAGAGATCTTTTGTTTAACCCTCTCTAATCCCAGCTCTACTAGAGACTCACTGTGTCTTTAGGCAAGGATCTTCCCCTCTCCATAACCCAGTTTCCTCATCTTCAAAATTATGGGATTGAGCACCAGGCCTGGAATCAGGAAAACCTGAGTTCAAATCTAGCCTAAGACACTTAATGATCTGTGTGACACTGGACAAGTCACTTAACCCTGTTTGCCTCAATTTCCTCATCTGTAAAATGAGCTGGAGAAGGAAATGGCAAACTGCAGTATCTTTTCCAAGAAAACCCCCAATGGGGTCACAAAGAGTTGGACACTACTGAACAACTATATAACCTCAAAAGCGCCTTGTACTTCGTGTTCAATGCCCTGACAATCTACAATCTAAGGTCCCTTCCAGTTCTAACACTCTGTGATCTTAGCTTCAGCACAGGGAGGTGACTTCTATGCTTTGAAAAGTACTGGAGGGGAGGGGGGACATTGAGGCTTCAACCCCCCAGAGAGGGCAGAGTGAACAGGGAACTAGGGCATACCCACCAACCTTCCCATCCCCCACCAAGGGGACATGACAATTCCTGCAGTAAAGTCAGTCAGTGAAACATTTATTAAGTGCCTACTATGTGCCAGGCACTGTGCTAAGAGCTGGGGTTATAAAAGGAGGCAAAAGATGGTCCTTGTCCTCACCAAGATATATAAGCAGTGATGTCCCTACTATACATGCTCTGTAAGTATGTGTTAGTAGTAGTAGAAGAGTCCTGGTTCTAATGCTTACTAACTTTGTGACTAGTCATTTGACAAGGCTGTGGCTAAGTTTCCTCATCCATAAAATGGACTGAGGCTAAGTTTCCTCAACCATAAAATGGATAGCATGATCCTTACAATATCAACCTCAAGGAGTAGTGGTGTAAAGGACTTTGTAAACCTTAAAGGACTAGAAAAATGTGAACTATTGTTTTAATAATAATAACTATTATTATCATTATTATTATTATATAATTCCAACCAATGCTAAGATCCCCTGGTTTTCTCCCTAAGTGCCTTTACCCAGAAGAGATTTCCCATCTGACCTTGCTGAAAATTGAGCTCTCTTTCTCCAGACGTGATTCTTCCCTTCAGGGTTCAGCCAAAGAGCTATGCCGGCATTCGCCCATCCTTCCCTCCCTATCACCCATCCCCAGTGATAGCAGTTCCTATTTCTCTAGGGTTCCTTCCTTGCAAGGGACAGAACCTGGCCACTTACACCCTGAGATTCAAGGTGCTAAAAAGGCCACACAGCTGTAAAATCTCTTACCTCATGAGCCTGTCCGAGTGTTTGCAATTCCACCCATTAGTCTCTCCCTCTGGGTTAGGGCTCTGAAGGCCCCTGTGCAAACATGTTCTATGGGAATGAGAGCAGGAGTAGGGGTGGGGGTCATTAGACCCTGTCTGAAATTTTGGTTCCAGTTCTGGCTACCACATTTTATCAGCAACATTGATGATAATGACTCCCATTTGTAAACAGTACTTTACTGTTTACAAAGTTTCTTCACAACAAATCTAAGAGAGAAAAGACAAGTGTTATATCCACTTCATTTTACAGATGGGGAAACTGAGCTTTTTGTGAGTGTTAGAACCAGATCTCCATTCTAATCCAATTCTCCTAACTCTTTAAGTCGCACAGTGTAACAGGGGGTGGGGAACCTGCAGCCTCAAGGCCACATGTGGCCGCATTAAGACTGAGGAGGCCTGAGTTTGAATCCCAACTTTGCCAATGACTAGCTGTGTGACTTTGGGTAAGTCACTTCATCTCCTTTGTCTCTGTCTCCTCAGCTGTAAAATGAAGCCTTGAACTAGTTCGTCTACACTGGATCCCTTTCCACTCCAGCAATTTATGTTTCCATAAGTCACTCCCACCTCTCTGAGCCTCAGTTTCCAGTCATGTAAAATGAAAATGCTAATACTTGTACTACCTAACACACAAGGCTGTTTTAAGAAAAACATTCTTCAAACTTTAAAGTGCCACACAAATATAATCTGGCACAACAGCAGTGCACTGGTGGTAGTAGC